TTTTTTAATTCATTCTTTCATAAAAGCGAGATGTAAATTTTAAAGAAAATGTGACCACAGGTGGCCATATGGAATGCCATTTTCAACGGAAGCATTTCTGCAAAGTAGAGATGCCAACGGAGGGAGGCACAACTGGCTCACCTTGCATGCTGTGAGACAAGACGCGCGCAGGTGTTTATTGCACATCGTGATTTGCTCGTGCCTGTGATAACCTGACTGGCACAGCACCTGGTAGTCATTTATTTGCTGGCAAAGTTGTGTTGCAGATGTTTGGCACGGCAGGGCCACTGGTGATTAAGAGGAAAGGTGTTTGCCTCGCTCACCGAACGTGGTAGAGCACCTTGCTATTGCTTCAGCAATTCATGAATCGGATATTCCAAGCCTAATTTTTTTTTTCCCTTATTTGTTGTTGCAAGTGAATAGCTAAATATTTTAACACTCAATTCCCAAACCATACCTTTGAAAATTACTCAATGGTTTCCTGACATTTGTCTTATGGCCTGCAGAATAAAATAAATAATACTGTGGATTCTGCCCATGATTCTCAGAAGAGATGGTGATTTCATGTTGGATTTGTTTCTAGTAGTAGCTAAATCCTTCTGGGGTGTAAATTAACATTCGATATTGTGAATTGATTTTCATTTAAATTAAGTTAGAGATCACATTTAAACATTTTTCTTGGTTTCACATCTCTAAAAAGTGGCATTTCAGGGTATTTATTTCAAAAATAATATAAAATATTGTCCATGATTTTATTGCATTGTTGAAACTATGATGGTTGACAAGGTAGTGTTTAAATATTAGGCAGGTTATTATTCAGACTTTATATGTATGTGGAATCACTGTAATCCATTTCTGGAAGAAGAAGAAAACATATTTCAGACTTGACCTGAATAAGGGGCCCCGTTATTGGACTGGATATAGTCCCGGTGGAGCTCTCTAATTGTGATGATACCAGCTGGCACCTCGATAGGCCACTGTGTCTGCGTAAAATGAAAAATGATGGGCGCATTGCATGCTTAATAATGGCCCTAGAAATGCCTCTGCTTCAATCCTAGTGGGAATCTGCATAGCAAACTACATGAATAATTCAGGGGCTTGGAAAGCCCTTGAACATTATTGCAGCATAGCAAAGCAATCATTGTATGGCTGCTGTGCTCCTGGGCTTAAGAGAATAGAGGGAAACATGCATTCTGCAACGGCTAACAATTCGAAATCTTATAACATATATACAATGTTAACATTCCCCTGGTCTCAGTAGGGTCTCGGAATGAGAAATCACATTCACTCTTACAACCAATTTCCCACTGTTGTTTGCTTCTTTGGCTGAACTAACATATTGCCTTTTCTATAAATCATTCCTTGTCCTTCGTGGATCTCGCATTAATAAACTATTGCATTTTTGACCTTACACTTTTATCTGAAGTAATAAGGTACTTTTCAACTACGTACAGTAATGCCTCGACATCTGAAAGTAGAATTCGCGAATGTAGATCCTATGTTTATATGGGGGGAGGGAGTGGGGTTAAGTTATTGTTTCTGACTGAGCATCCAGGAGAAAATGAAAATGTTTCATAACATGAATCCTCTGCTGTACACGTAAATAACATCCAGTGTACAAGAATACAAACTAAATAAAACATCAATACATTTTACTGTAAATTTGCAAGTTTTATTTACCTTTGCAGATAGGGGGTGTAATGATGATGGCGATTGTGTTGTTGGAGAGGAAGTCGAAGTGATGACTCATTTAATTGCAGCCAATAGTAGATGCACAATCACCAACAACTCTCCGTTTCTAGCTAAACTCATCACTTTGTTCTGCCTTTACTCTTGCTCTCGCGTCTTGCACTCACTCGACGTTTAAAACCCTGTGATCGAAAAAAAACCCACTACAAACAAGACAGAAATGGCACAAAAGGCAAGGGGGGCACTCGCCGTTAGATGGTATCACTGGTAAGATGGCTTGGGTTCGCACACCCGGGAGCCCACAGTCTTCTACAGCTATAAAAGTACCCCTCCGCCATCATGCCATGTTGCCAACTCACGAACAGTCTAAGGAAAAGGGTGCAAAACCGAAACTAGTATGCAAATATGAAATCGCGAATCATAAAATTTGGCCAAATAAAAATTTTCGAATGAGGACGTTTTACTGTACATGTTAAATTTATTTAATGCTTATTATAATGCCATTTGAATAAATTGTGGGTAGAATTGTTTTTATTTGTACCATGATACCAGTACCTAATGGCTTACTCTTGTGCTTGACTTCACGGGATCATTAACAGTTACTTGTGAAGCTGGGGGGGGGGGGGGGTGGTGGCGAATTTTTACGGCTAATGCATCCGCAGTAATAACACGGGCGGCTGCTGGATTCGAACCATGAACCTCTTAAACAAGCGACAGTCGCGCTCGGCCTGGGCCATGGTCACCACCCCTCAATGTATGTATAAAAAATTAGGAGAGAATTATTAGCAAAACCAGGAGAAAAGTTTCGATTTAAAGCTTTCGTGACTGCAGGGATTCATCTTCTTGGTTCTTTCGGTAAAGTCACGTAGAAGGGAATCAGACGCTGATTCAGCGTCTGATTCGGACGCTGTCGCCTCGACAGACCTGGTTTTCACCTGAGGACGGCTGCTTGAGTTGTGGCCGAAACGTCGTGAGAATTGTTTTATTATGTTTTATTTTTATTATTTTATTACTTTCCTTCTACGTGACTTTACCGAAAGAACCAAGAACAGGAGAAAAGTGCCAGAGACGTTTTATTCGTTGTGAAGCTCTTCAAGGAGGTCTGAGTGGTCAGTGGTCTTGGAGTGCCACGATGGAGACAGAGCTGTGAACCATGAGGGCTCTTCATTAACCACACAGAGGATGGCACTCTCAGTCGAATAGCCTTGGTGTAATATACGAGTGGATTGGTCTAGATGTTCAAATACCATTACAATTACCACCATCTCATCACAAGAGTATTAATTAGAGCATTTTAATGAATGCTCAATGCATGTAGGTATGACATTTGTATTCATATTCACGGAATAGATGTGGTTATTGCAAAAGGAAGTAAAAAAGACAGACTTTTTCCTGTGTTATGATTGGCACTATTAAATGAATCAGTTTTAATTCAACTACTCAATAAAAAAATGCAGTGTTTTGATGAAGCAGCTGAGCTCTTGATATCACTCTTGAAATGAGTCATTGTTTGAGGTCAACGAGTACATGGAGGATGTTATTTTTCAAAACTGGGTGCTTCGTTTTCACCTTGTCCAATGTTTCAATTACTTTTAACATTTTTCACTTTGGTCATTTTCTGCCAAGCGAATGTGGGATTTTAGATTGGGGGAATACACGAAGGCAAACTATTCGCCGAAGGAGCCTAATGACTTTTCCCTAGCAATTGTTAAGGTGTATTTGCCTCTCACATGCGCTCATATGCAGGCACCCATGCATCTACTGAATGTGTATGTTCTTTGAATATATCGGTTATTGGTCCTTCTAAAGTATTTGTATATCTTCACTATGGGAACCTCATTTGCCAGTAAAAATATGATAATTGTTTTTTTTTACCCTTCTATCTGGCAACAAAACTGACACCTTTTTACAAGGAGTCATGTTTGCATAGACCACAATACCTGCAGTCATAATACAAACAAAAGACATAACTCTGATAATGTGCACTGTCCTTGAAGTTGATTGGTCCACACCCGAGACAGCTTTCCTTAGAGCCTAGTCTCACATGGGTTGGACCAGATGATGCCAAAAGGCGCAGATAGAAGGGTAAAAACCAATTAACATATTTGTATATCCTCCAGCACCTTAAAATTGTTCTTTGGTTCTTTCGGTAAAAGAATAAAAGAATAATTCCTGCAGTCACGAAAGCTCCAAAGTTAACCTTAAAATTGGTGCATTTTTAAAAGAGGTAACTTAGTTTAAGGTGTGTTCAATTATGTGCTACGATAGTAATCTCTTTGGCATGATGTCAGCTTAACATCATGCTGGTCAGCGTCTAAGTGGATCTTTAATTACATTGATATAGACAATAATACAGCTCTGACTTTCCATGTTGCTTCCAGCAGACTGTTGTTGCCCAGAGCAACTGACCACAGCCGGTGTATTTTTTTACCGGCAGCATGTCAAAAGTGGCTTGATATCCACATATATGTAAATTGGCTTTTGGATGTGTATCTGCCAGGATAGATGGAATTAATCCATGTTTTGCATTGCGAGTGCCTTCTCTAAAATACAATATTTGCCTATACTAGACTGGGGCCATCCAAACCATAGCCCACATCATTTAATGTGGGCCATGGTGTCATCCAAGCCTATTGTTGAAAGAACTAGCCAAGGCTTTTATCACTGCTGAATGCAACTCCTTCCTGTCTCACCCTTTTATCCCTCGTGTGAATACACATCTCTCTTATCGCTTACATTTCTCTCCCGAATAGATATCTGTGCTATCCTTTTATCTTCTTAATACATTTACTGTATCTCTCATATCTTCTTAGTACAATTCTAAGTTCTTGTGTTGCGATCGAAACGTCTCTCTACGTGACTTTACCGAAAGAGCCAAAGAATATTATTTTAAATAGATCTTTCTTCTGAATACATTTCTCACCTGCCTCTCGTATACATCTCCAGACGACGTCGTTATTTTTCTCATTCATCTCTTTTTCATTTGTACATGATTTGTACGTGACCCACAGGTCTTATCATTTTAGTCAACCCAGCACTCATTGCAAAAATATTTAAATCCTCCTGTGATATACCATAATGAAGATGTGTAAATATCATCTCATATTGTCAATATTGAGACCTCCAAATCACCGTAATACTACTTTCCTATCTGTTCCGTTTGTGATCTTTATCTTTCACTCCACAAAATATTAGCAAGATGTTAATTTTCAGGGTTTGTATCTCCCTTGATTTGGTTGAATTGACATGGAATGACCCAATCGAATGTACTCAACCGTGAATGCTTTTTTTTACGGCCATGGCGTTTACAGAAAAAGTCGTCCCTAGCAGTGAGGAGGTGCAGCAGTCCGATGTGTCGTCCACTGGGAAAGGAGTGATTGACAAACACAAGCTGGGACCTCTCCTACTCGAGGTGAGCTCTTGTGATTACATGTTCCCATAACCTGTCAAGTAGTGCACTTTAATCGACACAAAAGCAGAATTTTTTATGCAATGAGCAAAAATATTTATTTTACTTTGGAAACGGTGCCCTCTTGATTGTGTTTTCATTATTTTTCCGATTTTGCCACACAGGCGCTTACATTTTTTTTAAACTGTGTCCAAGACAAATATGTTACCACGTTATGCGGCACAAATTTATTAACATTGACTTATTCATTAAACTGGACTCTGGTACACCGTGTTATTTGATATTGCTAATTTTATTTCTGGAAAATTGCCCCATCACTTTATATCCGAGGGCGAAGCCCCCATATCAAATGCTTTAAAATCATATTTGATTAATGGGTTAAACAAATCTTGTTTTGATTCGTATGCTATACCACTGCCTCCCCCCGTAGGCCCTGGATGGATTCTTCTTCGTGGTCAACCGGGAAGGCAACATTGTGTTTGTTTCGGAGAATGTAAGTCAATACTTGCACTACAATCAGGAGGAGCTCATGAACACCAGGGTCTACAACATCCTGCACCTGGGAGACCACTCGGAGTTCATCAGGAATCTTTTGCCCAAATCTCTAGGTGGGTGTCATTTACATTGGAGAAAGATAAATTAGTGCCTGACGCTTGTAACTGCCTTTGAATTGATCAGGATTCAGGAATATGGTTTGGTGTTAGTCACATCTTCATGGGGATGTGTTTATACTTTACGAATATAGACAATGTCACATTACACTAACTACTTAGATCGTAGCAGTGCATTTGAACACATTATGAAATACGAAGAAGAATGTTTATTTGAGAATTTATTCTAAATATATGTGAGGGTACCTGATATTAATTTCTCCATACCAAAGAGCCATGCTTATTGGCAAAGGTATCTTTAAAAAACATGGTTGCCGTTATTTAAATCATGCTTAATTATTGTAGGAATTCATTAAGGTGGGAAGTTACTTTTTTACGAATTTACTGCTGGCTGCTCAGGGCTTCTGATCCTCATTGATTGGTGCATCTCATTCCTGCGGGCTTTAGATAATCCCCGTTGGTGTACAGCATGTCAGGCTCTACATTGTAAAATCAACCAGGCATGACTAAGTTTGCTGGACATGCTGATGTTTCTCCAGTACTATATAGACAGCTAAAACATTGTGTTTCTTTGTATGTTGTTTAGCCCTGAGTGTCGGGGACAAACTTGCCTGTGAGACGAGAATAGTAGTGTTGGAAGCATTAAGTTCATCCAGGTTTGTTGCAAGTTGAAAACTAGGCCAGTTCCCAAGTTCTTTTGACGGCTCATTCCGTGAGGGCAATCGTCATGTCCTGGGCATGCAGGTTTGTGTGTATATTGCTAGCTTGTGTAATGTGAGACTTTTCCTTGGTTTTGCTATTGTGCCTCATGCACTTCCGCAATCCGTGCAGTTAGTGTGATGTAGATATGTCTGGGTTGCAATGGCAACTACAATGCCACACGTAAAAAAAATGCCCATAACGGTTTTATTATAGCTCATAATTGTGTTATCTATACAGTTCAAAGGAAATACACGAGTATTATTGTTCTTTTGATCATTTTGTAAAGTTTCATTTGTTTTGTACTCATACGTTTTAATTGCTTTGGTTTGTGTTTGTTTTTTACTACCAGTTCACTCACATCCCCCTACCCGTGCACACTTGTTTCCATTGTATTCTATTTTTGTTTTCAATTAGATGTTTTTGCTTACATGACACTATTATTGTTTAAAATTAGCGTTTTTCCTCATTCATTGGTGGAATGTTTACCACAGCGATATTTAATTTGCTGTGGATTCTATAAAAATACTATGAACGTTTTGACAGGTCTTCAGTGACATGATAAATATCCACCTTCACACGGGCCATGTGCCGTATGCTTTATTAGTTCCTGTTTACTCGTGCATTTCATAGCCCTGAAGACAGCATCGCAGCGTTGGCACCAGCAAGCACCTGTATTACCCTCTCTGGCTTGCCAAGTTTGGGCAATAAATTTGGTAGCCAATTTGATTTCCTAAAAAGAACACTGCGGCTAATTGCATCGTATTATAATCAGCATGTTTGTATTTTTGGCAGGCCTCCCATGTGATAAACTGGCATGCAAATGACTTATATCCTTTCCTTTAAACAATCCCATTAAATATTACCATATGAACTTTAATGGGTGGATGTGAAAGTGATGTTGAGAGTAGGAGACCAGAAATTGTGAACATTTTTAATTTTCACTGGCGCACACACACTTTTATGAGTTTTGCTAGAGTCAGTCCCTCATTTAGATGAGGTTTGTTGACAATGTGCTAAGCTCTGGCACAAATCGGCTCAACTCCTTCCGAGTCAGCTCAGTATTCTCAGGATTAAAATCAATTAGAGTAATTGCGCTGCAGAAGTTCCGGCCTAATAGATCCCATTGATAATTGGTTCTTTTGTACATAGAATGGTCATATCCATTGCAAGCTCCCCAACAATGTTTTGCTTTGCATATGTAAGTGGGTAGGAAGGGAGAGCGAGACTTCACTGGAGGCAACACGTTTATTATAACAATAATAAACCTTAACACGAAGGGGTAACAGCCCCTTCCACCCGATACTCTAAGGAGGTATATCCTCCGGCCTAACGTCCCCTAACACACTGGGGAGGCTAACTCCGACCCGACCCCAGCCAGGGTCCAAGTCTGTGTCTTCGGGCTCCTCTTCAGGGTGACGGCTCCAGGTCTTCAGGTGGCGGCTTCGGGTCTTCAAGTGTACCACAGCAGCCGGACCCATTCAGGGGTCCGGCTTATATAGTCTGTCCCGGCTTTCCCCACCCCGAGCCATCCCCTTGTTCTCAAACCTTCGAGAAGGACCTGGGCTGTGGACACGTCATCCCCCCAGCCCCCTCTAGGGGGTCCTGGGGTCCGTCCTCCGGTGACGAGCCCCCCCCCGTCCCCCCCCGGGTTCAACCTGAGTGCCACGGCCCAACTCGATCCGAGCATTCTTCCGCCCCCTGTTATCCCGGGGCTGGCACTCCATCTAGGGAGCAGTGGCATTCGTGAATCACACCCAGTAATGCCACCTCACATGTCCGTTGAATGAACAAAATGAACATTATAAAAGGTGCTGTCCATATTATAATGAGGTAAATTCCAGCACAGATGCACGTGCTTTTAGTACCATCAACCATGTCACCGTAATCATAGTTTCATTTCTCTTAATCACTTTTAACTGTATCACTTTGTTAAAACAATGCTCATCAGTCAACATTAGCTTTTACATTCAGGCATGGAGTCCAACATTTATGCATTTCAAATTTTTTAAATTGCACTTTTATGAAACTAGATATTTTTTTAGTACTCCATGAAACTAATTTTTCATCATCAACAGAGAGTTGTTATAGCGGTGAACAATTTAATACTGTTATCTTGAATTCAATAATTTTATTTTTCCTCAATTTTCATAACTTAATGGTCTAGCTTACCATATATACCAAGTGCAATTCACAGTAAAATGTGTTTTGTAACATTGTGATTTTTGTGGGTAATATTCAATGGCATCCAGCTGGATTGCGCATAGGTTATAATGTTCCGCTTGCAGATTACTCACCCTTCTTCACTCATCTGGTTCGATAAAATAGCTACCACTTTGTGGGAGGTCAGTACTTGGTGTCATGTGGATATACTCACCCCTGCAATGGAAATGTGGCTGCAAACTGCAGATGCGCGCCCACGCTTGTTTTTGTTCACAAAGCGAGGATCATGTACGTGAATAGGCAACTTTATATGAAGTTTGGTGCATAGGTGGCTTTTACATGTAATCAATTCATTTTATCAAACTAAACTACAAACGAAAATGTTAGTATTTTACCGAGTAAGGTCCACTGAGCTCTATTACTCTTTTTCAGAAGCGACCTGGCCACAAATGATAGCTCAGCGAAGTGGCGTATCATCACTTGGAAATTTATAGCAGCCAAATACTCCTAAACGCACATACATTGTTTGTTCTATCTATCAGAAGTGAGAAACACTTGATTTCTCCTCATTAACGCTGTCTGACGAGTTGGTGGCCTGTGCTACCAGAATACCGACTTTGATCACTACGAGATTGTGTGTTCTGCTGCATGCTTCTTGGGTAGTCTTTCTGATGTGCTCTTTCACACCATGCTCAGGATACAGTAAAATGCATAGTTTAAGAGATCACTGCTCTTCTGACTGCATCGTCAAGTTATCTGATACAGTGGGACCTCGGTATACAACCGCTTTGGAATAAGTCGAATTTGGCATACGTCGTGTTTTTTCGAGAAAAAGATGACTTGGGATACGACGGCTTGTTTGGGATACGACGCGCTTGCTAGAACTTGTATGGGTCGGGATGAGTCACCGCGTACAGGACCCGCGTATGCCCCGTTCACGGCGTGGGGGAGAGGGGCAGGGGACGTGGGGGAGAGGGGCGGGGGGCGTGGGGGGCTGCCCCCATGGAGGGTGGAGCCGCCGGGTCGAGGCGCGCGTGACGTGCGGGGTTGAGGCATGCCACGTGACCAACGCAGCTGGCAGCAGCACGGTCACGTGGCTTCTGTATGCATTTTAGTAATTAGTGTATACATTATTTTATACAACCCCATTAATGTATTATTTGTCATGTAAAATATCATTTATTTTTCTCTGGAACAGATTATTTCCTTTCCCTTTATTTGTTATGGGAAAAATTCGTTTGGTATACGTAATTTTCGGTATAAGTCCTACCTTCTGGAACGAATTAATGACGTATACCGAGGTTCCACTGTAGTTGATAATTTTTTAAGAGATTGAAAATGATTGCTCTCATGCCAAAACCATTTTACCTGACTTGCTAAATTTTGAAAGGCCACTGAAATGTTTTTAATTTCCATCAAATGTTCAGCAAATGAAAACATAAAGCGAGACTGCTTTTTAAAAAGTATTTAAATTCAATGCCGGGCATGATGTTACCATTGAAGGCCAGATTGGGCTGTTGCTGATTTAAATTTTCTTTCTCTTTTATCACATGTGCATCACAGCTGAACCCGCTTAATTTGAATACTTGCTACTAGTTAATGGACAGGGACATTAGAAATCCATGGGTAAAATAATGTTCCTTACATTTTGTTTGAATGTTCTTGTAATATGGGAAGAATTTTCTAATTAATAACATTCCAGTAAGCATGCTGGAATTTTTCTGCAGTATTTTTTCTCTCTAGGATTGTACCAAAAAATAACTCATGGTATTGTCACAAGCTGCATTTGTACAGGCTAATTCGACTACCATTGGGGCTTTCATGTATGTTTTGTCGTAGGCATGTAACAATTCATGCTTCTGACGATTTGATTGACTGTCTTGATGAGAGGGCACGATTTTATCCTACAATCATTTTTGTCTTATTTGTACTGTCGGGTCTTGCATGTTCTGTCTTATTCATTTGGCTTAAGAGTCCATTCGCGTATAATATTCATTAATTGTAAATAATCAATTATCATGTGCACAATGTATTGCATGTATGGCGGATAGCATGCTGTGCGTCTATTAATCAGCTTGATGTTTGTGTCCACGTTATTTGCTTGTCATTGCCCATGACAGTGAATGGCGTGCCGTGGCCCAATGACGTCACTCGCAGAAACTCGCACACCTTCAACTGCCGCATGCTCGTGCGGCCCCCGGACGACTCTGACGACGAAGCATCCAACTGCCAGGAGGCGCGGCAGAAGTACGAGACGATGCAGTGCTTTGCCGTCTACCAGCCCAAGTCCATTCTGGAGGAGGGAGAGGGTAAGAGCTTATCCGGTTGTTAATCCTGAGTGCAATTTGATTATTTAAGAAATGGAAATCCCTACGGATATTTCCACCTGCATCCTATACGCAGTAAACGTGACAGTGATAGTGCCAAGGGGTGTGATAATGAATACAATAGTGGTATACAAAGCTGAATCAATTTAGGATGACAGATGCCAATGCTGACTGTAAAAGCTGGGACAACATCTTGTATTCAGGAGCTTCACTTGGATAGTAAACGAGAGCCTTGCACACAACATTCCCACGCTCTCATAACAGAATCTGGATTTGTTACGCATTTTATGTACAAATGCATGTTGAATTTATCTCGCACCGTACGTAGCCAACCATGCTCATCGGAGGTAATCGGATCTCAAGTTGCTGCACAAGAGATGAGACACATTTGGATGAGTGGGGTTAATCGATAATGGAGGGGGGGATTTGAACAGAGGAATACTATCATGCACGGTGAGGTTGTGGCAGATGGACCAGAGAGGAAGGACTTGGGTCCAGACTTGAACATGGGAAGGGAAGTCTGCCATGCGGATAATTATCAGATGGGATGTTCTCGACCCTGTTGGCAGAAGTTGGAGAAGGAGCGACCTCCCAATGTGCGTGGAACATCTTCTGTAGTTTCTTAGGTTTTTTCTGGAGGATGGAGGTGATAGTTCCATGATTTGGGGAAGGGTATTTGGATTTACAAACTGAGATTTAATATAACCTTGTAAGTAAGCCTTATTTAAACTCAAACAATTCCAACAATGGGCCTTCTACAATAAGAGACATGGGAAGAATTCGAGGTATATTCGCTCTGCAAGGAAAGGGTAAACATGAATTGGCTTTTGAAGTTCCAATGTTTGCTATCACCTTGAGACTAAACACAAACTCAAACATACCAAAGTGATAATATTATACTCACCTTAATTTAAATCTAAAACCAACCCCATGCCTTCAAGAGGAATATCATTTCCCTGTCATTAATGCGAATACAAAGCCAAATTCTACATTATGCCTACTTGGACATTGCTCAACAAAGTTTCAGTTTAATTGTTTTGCCTCGTGGTCAATCATGGAAACGCTATCCTGTTCTTTTAATGACTTGTTGACTTTCATTGCCCTCATTATCTATATAATCTAATGTTCTTAAGGCAAGAAAATTGCCCAGGTTTTGGTAATCCAGCAAAACCAAATAGATTGCTGTGATTTATTCTCCATGAATGACGATACTAATTCAATACAAATGCAGTAAATGATACCTGGGGGGAAAATATGGCCCGCATAATAATTGTATGGCGATTATATATGGCAGACGGTGTAATTGAGTAGCAGCTGTTGACGGATGAATGTTGTGATGAACTTACTTGTCTTGGGGATCTCTCTTGGCAGATCTGCAGTCGTGTTTGATTTGTGTGGCACGGCCTATTCTGACCAAGGACAGAACGCAATCCAAACCCACACATGAAACATTTACCACCAGGCAAGACCTCAGAGGTGAGTTTCAAAAGTAATATCGCACATCCAGATCATTCATTACTATTTTCCCATGCGTAGAACGTTTTAATGCTTTACAGTTTTAGTTAGAAATTGAATATTGCATTGAGGGGCATTGTTTTGTGAGTGCTTGCTTAAATTTGTATTTTAAATGTATGATACAACAACGTAGTGTAAATCTTGAAGCCTTGTTATTTTTTTGATCTTTTCGTTTTTATAGCCTGGTATTATTTCACTATTTCTTGTTTGTGCCATTCATAAAATGTAATAAACACTTCACCGGCAGTTTTTGAAGCATGTTTCGATACCTGCTGGTTTCGAATATACAGCACAATGCTGTGACGCATTGAACTTAGAAAAAAAAAATCTCCCCATTTATTATTTGGAGATTTATTAATAATACATGTAGAGTTCTCACTTGTATAGTAGCTTCAATTAGTTGTCTAACACATTTGTGCTATACGCATAATGCTAAGAGTAAGGTGGAAAAGCTGAGGGTTTTCTTACAAGAGCCCGTCGGCACATTCCTTCCAATACAGTCTTCTTAGAGCGCACGGAGCCTAACCAGAAATATTTAACCAATAACTAAAAAATGTATATATCGTAAGCTTTTGGGCCTTGCCATCATTAAATATCTTATCGTTAAAAACTGTCCGTAACCCACCTCAAAAATTTTGCTCTTAAATTCGAATTTCTACCACGACACTGTAAAAATGTAATCTCCAACCATATAAGTCATGTTTTTTGGTCTCCTCTCTGTCTTTTCTTTCTCTGAAGAAACACCATTGTCCAAAAAATGTCTTGCTCTATATGGTTTTGTTATCCAGTTGTATTAATAATACTCTTCGGTCTTTTTTTCTTGGGCTGTTGTTGAAAGCAAAAAGACAACACACACTGCTCATGATAGCAATAAGGTTATTATAAAACATCTGTTGAGCCACATGATGAAGCAGGCCCTTAAGGAAGTTACAAGTGGTTCGTGTCACGTGTTGACCCGTGTCTGCCACATGTGCATAGGGAACATTGTGTTCATTGACAAAAATGCCGCGCAAGCGTACATGAAGCCAGGCTGGGAGGAGGTGGTACGACGATGTCTGCACACCTTTTGTCAGACCCGTGACAATGAAATGTCACTTGCCAGACGACACAACCAGGAAGGTAGGTCTGTCGCTCGTGACTTTAGGAGGTCATTCTCTACGCAATTCCCAACCCCGTGCGATGCCAAATGATGCTGGATAGAGCACAGTAATACAATGAGTTGACTAAATAAAAACACATTTGTTCTGAAAGTTTCCATTATATATGATTGCCCATTGGCTTCAGGCCCTATGTCATATGAAAGTCATAATGCAGATTAAGATGCTCCTTTCCATTAGTGCATTGTGGAAAATTGGCTAATACAAATGTAAATTGCCGAGTAGCTTTTATATTTGGATAACATTGTTAACATTTGTTCTAACTAAGTTACATATTTTCTGTAAGCTCGTATATTTTATAGCAAACAAAACATTTATGTATATGTTTTAACTCTTCTTTCCAACATGAATTCAAATCCTTAAGACAGCCGACAATTAAACAACGTGGTTTTAATAATAATGCTAACAAGGAAGCATGTTGTATTTTTTATCCAACAGTACTGAAGTCTGGCTTTGCTCACAGCCCCTTCTACAAGTTGATGTTGGCAGATGGTACAATCATCTCTGCCCAGACGAAGAGTCAGATTCTGCGCAATCCAGCCACCAACCAGCCACACTTTGTCGTGTCTATGCATACCGTCATTCGGTAAAGCCCCCTCACACACATGACATGCTGTAACGCATTACACACATGACATGCTGGAACGTATTTTGTTGTTTCAATTTAAAGCTTTCATGACTGCAGGCATTCATCTTCTTGGTTCTTTCGGTAAAGTCACGTAGAATGGAAATAATAAAACATAATAAAATAATTCTCACGACGTCGTGAGAATTATTTTATTATGTTTTATTTTTATTATGTTATTACTTCCCTTCTACGTGACTTTATCGAAAGAACCAAGAAGATGTATTTTGTTGTTCTCAAACGTTTTGCTTCGGAGGCACCCTCAATCGAGATTAACTGGGTCCCCACAACCCAAAAAACACAACTCGGGTTCCTAAGGCCACAATGCACTGAGCAATGACATGTCCACTCCTCTAGCCAACGTAGCATTCATGTGAGAGGCAGTTTGTTTCACGCTGCGTATTTGTGGGTTTTGTCACTGCAACATGGTGGTGACATTGCCCGCAGACATTCAAAACTTCTCCTGTACGGTAGCCATACAACAGTATGACTCCCCACACCTCCCGACCGCCTGAAAGGATTTTGTGACCCAGAGGTTATGAAACCACTGATGTAATGTTTCTGTCACCACTTGAAGAGTGCTTTCGCTTGAATTTAGCCATGATTAGGGCTGGCATGCGAACTGCTGTTTTGTCTTATTCGCCCTTTAAGTTTTTACCTAGCGTGCAAACAATGTGACAAAGCATGGTGGTACTAAATGTCTTACTTATGCTCTTATGAACAAATGTATGTCATAAATTAAGAAGTATGTAATCAACTAATATTTCAGCCCAGAATCTATTAGAATGTAAAAAATTAAATGTCTTTTTTGCTATATTTCATAATGGTGATAAAAGCTGTGTTCCTTGTTTGAACAATAGTATTTAAAATCATATATGTATATATATATCTCAGAAGGCAGTAGTTTGCATATGAAGGTCTATATAGAATCGTCAAATAAATTGGAGCCACAAGTTAAATTGGACCTGTTCACAGCCAAGGTTGATCTGAGTTAATGCTTGAGGTTGGCATTCTGCCACGCTTGCACAAATTTCAGTCATGCAGGAAACGTACATTTAGAGCTTAGTTCACAGAGACACGGATGAAGATAGTTGCCAATTTTTAATATGGTCTGTAGCGAAAGAGGGCGTCAAGGGACTGGAAATGTTTGATTATAGTGAAAGTTAACTTGGGAACACTAAGCATGTCTGAGTTTAATACTGCCCCTGCTGTCTGCTCTGCCGTATTATTCTCTGCATTGCTGACTTTCTCTCACGCTCATGTTCATACAAGAGATGTACCTTTTCTATTTGTCATATGATTAACTGCCTGTCAGTCTTAATACTATATTAACTAATCCTCGTCTCAACAGTTAAGAATGTTTTTGACTGTCACCAAACTTCATGAGCTTAATTTATTTCACCAATTTTCTAAAACTTATATCCCACTGCTATAAAACATAATTATATGTTGTTGCATGTAGATATTTTGGACGTTACATTTCTTTTTATCTTAATTACATTTTTTTCCTATTTCCAATTCTTCTTCACAAGGGAACAAGCGGACATGACGGGTCACAGCAGTGCAAATTCAATGGCAGGCCCGGCCATGATGTCCCCAGCCACTCACAGGGACATGGCCCAGCAGGGCGGATCGGGACAACAGTGCCCTCCCTTTCTGGCAAACGCGAACCCCATGGGGGATCAGTTCCAGTTTTCTCGTGTTCCGCCCATGGACCCAGCCAGGTTCGGTCCCGCCGGCATGCAGGCTAACAGTGTCACACGCAACCTGGCCAGTCCTGGGATGGGTGGAGCTGTTCACCAGCAACAGCAGCAACAATATCAACAACAGCAGCTTCAACAACAGCAGCAGCTTCAACAGAAGCAGCAGCTTCAACAGCAGCAGCTTCAACAGCAGCAACAGCAGAAACTTCAACAACAGCAGCAACTTCAACAACAGCAGCAACTTCAACAACAGCAGCAGCTTCAACTTCAGCAGCAGCAACTTCAGCAACAGCAACTTCAGCAACAGCAGCTTCAGCACCAGCAGCACCACCATCAGGGCTTCCTGATGTCACCGCACCACTGTGGCAGCCCTGTCATGGTCGGTAGTCCTAGAATGCCAACCGGAGGGCACTTCTCCCCGGGATCCACCGCTCAGCAACACCCGAGCTCTATGTCGCCAGCCACAAGCCACGGCTTTTCGGCGAGCTCTTCCTTGAACGCTCTTCAGGCCCTCAGCGAGGGTGCGTGCGTCCCCTCGGTTCTTTCTCCGCTGTCTTCCCCTCCACCCACTCCGGCCTCTGGTCATGGCCACAGACTTCCGAGCAGTTCTGGACAAAACTCACCCGGGCAGCAGCAACACTTGTCCACGCCACAGACTTCTCCAGCACTGAGACTGCAGATCAACCAGCAGAGCTCACCAGGCCAGCAGCAGAAGGTACCCAGCTCATCCCAGCAGAGCCCTTCCAATCAGCAGAGGGGCCCTGGCACCACCCAGTTCCCTCAGCAGAGCTCGCCAACTCCTCAGAGGATGTCAAGCCCGGGCATCTCGCAGAGGGTCAGCCACTCCCAGCAAAGTCCTTCGCCTGGTGGACAGAGGTTTGGCAACCCGCAGACATCACCGGGCCAGCGATCGGGGAACCCACAGAGCTCACCTAGTCAAAGACTATCAAAAGCGCAGAATTCCCCAGGGCCGTGGATGGTGAACCCAGCCAGCCAGTGCTCCCCGGGGCAGCCAAGAATACCCCCGTCACAGCGGAGGGGCAGCACGGATGGGAGCAAAGACCCACCGTCGGGACACGTCGACCCTCCCGACGGCTCGTCAGATATGTCGGCGGACGGCAAAGGTGAGGCGCAATCGGGCGACCCGGATGAGCCGAGCCGGGCGTCGGACAGCAAGAAGCATACGCAGCTGCTGCAGCTGCTAACTAACGGCGGCTCCGGTGGAGAGCTTGTGAGCACCACATCGGCGGCTGGAGATGCTAGCAAGGAGGCTCTGTTTGGGATTACCTCGCCGACCACAGCAGCATCCGCTGGCCTCCTGGCGAATATGAGTCAGAGTGCAGCGGCGGCGGGACAATTCTGCCCAGCGGCGACGGCATCCTCGACATCTCTATCCAGCAGCGCCGCCTCATCTTTAAAGGTTATACACCGGATTTTAACTTGCCTTATAGGGGCACCTTCCTGTTTTGTCGCTGCCCTATGCTTGATTATTTGAGTTTGATATTTCTCAAGCTGTGTTGTTGTTTCCCTCCTTGAACCACGCTTCCTCACTCTCAATCTTGTCTCGTATGTAAAGTAATGTTCCCTCAAATGACTGGTAAGCAATGAAAAATCAGCTGCTGGAAAGGTAATTGCTGGTTTGTCTGATCTCTTGGTTGTATGAATCCTGCATGGTCTGCAAAAAAATGTGTACGTAATTTAGCAGTTTGCTTCATCAACTTTTTAAATGATTGGATTCATTTATAATGCTGTTAAAGGAAATTAATTGATAAACGTGTGTATTACTTTACGGAGACACATTAGCTAAAACACTGTCTGTGCAACATTCCTGATTCAAGCTAAAGTCATCTTTTAAACAGCGGTGCATCAATTAAACAATGTCACATGCACAGCGCTATGTGACATCTGAAGAAATATCCATCAGAAATCGTTCGTTAACAGCGACAAATGCAAGTCATTCTCTGCTGTCCTGCGATTTGCACACGCGTGCGTCTGCGCACGTGTTCGTTTTTTTTATATATATATCTGGCTCCGCTAACGTCAAGAAGGAGCGACACAAGATACTCCACAAGCTGCTCCAGGACAGCAGTCCGCCCACGGAGCTGGGCGACAAGCGCGGCGGCGGTGGCGGTGTCGACAAGCCGCCCGCCGAACAGCAGGCCGGAGGCCTCTGCAGTATCGGCTCGGCGGAGAGCGGCGTGAAGCAGGAGCCCGGCCTGACGTCCCCCACCACCACCACTGCTGCCGCTGCTTCCACACTCTCCGGTTCAACCCCCGGCGGCGGCGACGGCGACGCCAAAAAGAAGGACCACGACCACGTGCTCCTGCGGTACCTCTTGGACAAAGACGAGAAGGAGATGGCTGAGGCCGGGGGTGCTGCGTCACCATCCCAGCCGGCTCCAAAAGTAAGCGGAGAACGTTTTAGTGTCTCATAGTCGCCCTTCAACGGTGCATTTAGCATCGCTTGTTTTACCGCGCAGCCCATATGACCGTGTCGGGAGATTGCCATTGTATGAATATAACTTGTTGAAAGTGGGTTTCCTATTCAAACAGAGCGTGAATATGGGGGGGAGGTGCTTATCTTTTGTTGAAGTTTGAAGCGATTGCAAAAAGAATCCACATTGCTATGGTAGAGGGCCAAGACAGCGACTGGTGATTTCCAAAAAAAAACGTTTGCACTAAGAGGAATGTACGGCCAAGTTGACCTCTGATTGGGATTTCATCTTGCAACTTACACATGTAAATTCATGAGCTCTAATCACTGAACCACCTGGCCAAATGGATAATAATTAGTTGGTTAGAAAAAATATATAAATTTACTTCAAAAGTTGCATAGCTTAATGTAGCTCAGCGTAATCAAATCTTTTTTTACTCGCCACAAATTTGTCACGGTGCAGAGGATCCCATATGCTCTCACAGCTATGAGTAGTTAAAATGTGTGACCAATGTTTGTCCTAGCAAACGGTGCCCCCTAAGCCTAATTAATGCTTTGCATCTTCACACGGTGATGTCACGCTTAAAAAGAGATCCATATTACAGCAAGATTCAAGAAACGAGTGAGAAATCAGACTGCATACGCAGCCACGAAAGCCGCCTCCTCTCCTACTTATCCCTCCTCAACCGGCTCTGTTAAATGAAGACATAAACCGTAAAATATTTGATTCACCCCTTGATACCTCATTCAACCAATACCCACCATATGCCGACCTCCAAAGGCTTAATATACCCGGCTCCCAGCATGCACCAGGTGTTGTGCCCTAGATGCACGTCTGCGTCCTCTAGCGCGTGTTTAAATGAAACGACAAGTCAGTCCAAGGTGATGTTACTAAAAGGGAGGCACTCCTGAAAGTCACGTCTTCACTTTGGACTTGTTTTTATCTGGGATATTTATTTTCTTTAACTGTGGCAGCAGTTTGGAAGCGAGCGGGAACAACTGGAGAGCATTCTTCAAACGCTGGAGGACGCTGGGCTGCAGGTCCCCTTCTCGCGGACCGAGTGGGAGTCCGGGGATGCCAGCAAAGCACCCGGTCTCACCGATGCCTTCCCGATGTCTGCAAACTCTCCCGGCTCGAGGAAAGTGGCACAAGGTTTGTGGTGCACCTGGCAGAGCAACGTGAAGCTGAATTAATCAGAGGCTGTCACAGCTTTCACCTGCATAACCCACTCATTACTGCCGCCAAGCTCAGCGATTAACATTCTAAATTGCCTGCATAGATGTTTCACTTCCTCTGGTGGAAGATATGCGTTGCGGATATCACTGTCTGGGCTGTAAATGAAATATTTTCACATGCATGCACATGTTCACAGACACTAATCTAGCGATTAAATCTGCAGCCCTTTTTGCTTGGCGCTTATGGTATTGTTACAGTCTTCACTGACATCTCACTCTTAACGATCCTGGCTGAAATCAAGGTCCTGCACTGTTCATTGATAGAGGGGTATTGTCCTGTTTTCTAAGTAGGTTAGCTCCACCCTGCCAATTAACAGTGATGTCACCACTGTTGGAAGCAGCCACCCTTTTCATCATTGCTAATACCGTGACCTTATAGATCATCATTATATTGAATTTTAACATTCATGTTTGATTTTACGATGAACACATTTGTTAGCAGACCATGCGTCTTAGATCCGCCATGCAACTCTCTCTGTTGTGGCTTTGATTAAAAGTTTTTTTTTTCTTTGACCTCATTGCAGGGTTAATTGGGTCACCAGAGTTGGCAAATGTTCGCCTTCCATTTAGCCGAGGTTCCTCAATGGAGCTGAATTTGCCACCCCATCGAGGCAATGGGTCAGCTCACTTCTCATCGGGCCATGCCACCATGTCAGCACAGGCAGCTCTGGCATCAGCTGCAGGTGAGGGTGGAACGTGTTGTCACTAGTCTGTCCCCCCGCTCACCTCCCACGCATTTCACAATTAGCACTATTCGCATTCCTGCATTTAACCATAAATATGCTAAATTCCTCTTCAAATGCAAATTCTTTTGTCAAGGCTCTCTTCCTCCTCCCTCACAGCTTAAATAGACACTCCAAGCCTAAGACGTGTCATTTAGACTCTGTCTTATCGACAGACATGTTCTTCACCTGAGGACGGCTGCTTGCGTTGTGGCCGAAACGTCATGAGAATTATTTTATTATGTTTTATTTTTATTATTTTATTACTTCCCTTCTACGTGACTTTACCGAAAGAACCAAGAAGATGAACTAGTCTGTCCATCAACATCATCGTGAAGAACACCTTCAGCTGGATACCCTAGTGGTCAATATGCATGGCACTGAGCTAACCTGGCCATGTTCAACCATTTGCAGGCATCAGCCGCTCTGTAATCTTGCGAGGTCTAATATATGTTTGATATTTATTGCCTTTCAATGTCATTCATAACAGAAGGCAATTTGTCTTAGTCTAAACCAGAGTTGTTCTCACTTGAAACTTGCATACTGAAAACAGTTTAATGTTAAATAACACATCTTAGTATAACCAGGACATCCTCTCTGAATCTGCAATCTGAAAATATTTTTTTAGATGTGAACGCCTTCGAATTTGGAAATAATAACCTCTTTGTGTAGATAGTAAATCTACTTTTTGCTTATACCACCAATCTACCGGTCTTGTACAGCTTTTGTCTCATCTTACTGCCGCTTATTCCATTGCATAATCTCCCATTTGGTCCTGCGAATGAGCACTCCTTCTCTCGACTGCCGAGTTCGTGTCGAGGCATAGATGTTAACGCCATATGACAAATATTCATTTGGTACTTTGAGTGCGCGTGAAATAAATAAATATCGCTGCAGCAGTTTCTTCCCAGTCCGTACATTTTGCTCCAGCTGTCTCGGTGCCCTTCATGAGCCACCAGTGTGATATGATGGTACAATGTCAAATTTATTTATTTCTATATTTATGAAAATAATTTATTGTGTCAAGTTGAGTGTTCAGGAAACTTCTAGGTATATTCTTGTTTGTATGTACGGCTGTTAATTTTTTAAGTTATTTTCATTTAAATGATCCTACACACGCTGTGCGTTATGTGCATTTTGTAGAGACCCATCTGTTACTAATCATCTGCTTGTATTGCCATGCATACCACTGGTACCTGTTGGGAGTCTGAGGCATGGAATTCTTCAAGTGGGAAAGTATTTAAATAGACCCCAGCCAAATATAAACTTAATTGGTCAGGCTTCGTGTCCACATTAATAAATGTGCCAAGTTTTGTTCTGCTTTGTTAAATTTGTTTATAAGCGCTAGTCTTTATATGCGTGCATGTATTCTATTAAACTCACTAAAACACATTGGAGTATGAAAAAAAATATATATATATATATCTGGGATGAATTAATCATATAAGAGCAGCAGATTTGGTTGATATGGAATGCCCTATGTATGATCAAATGAGACCCCATTGAGACAAGAAGTCTCCAACAGATTCCTGGGTTTGAATAAGTACAGCAAACAGCAAATTCCAATGGTCACACAAAATTATATTTGTGATATGATTTATCAAAGTCTTAAAAATGAATCCTCAGGCATGCAGGCACAGAAGAATAACCTCGTAATATGCATGGTGCGAGGGAAACAAAATTACATTTATTGCCTAAACTTCTGGAAAGGAATGTCCTGAAACACAAAAATCTGCCCCAGCCAGGGCAGTGGATCAACCTGGACAGCTATTTATGCTCATCAGGATCTATTAGCCATAATGAAAATGTTGATTAGATTTATATGTGTGTGGAAACCCTGCAGTGCAAGTGAAAATGCAGTGAAGTGTATTGCCTGAAAGGAAATGTGAGTTGTATTTGAGCTCATATCCTTATTATAAATCTTATCTCCTCACTTATCTATTTATATGCCTGAGTTATTGGCAGGGTTACATTTCTTTACACCCTTGACTTTGTCTTTCTGTGAGCCCCCCACAGGGCCATCTTTTGTCATGCCGAATTTAGAACTATTCAGACATGCAAACAGAAGTGACACACCAAGAGCATTCGGTGCTTTTTATCTTTGCCAGCATGTCACTTTAACTTCCCTCTAAACTTCCAGTGAGAGCCTGTAGCCATGCTGTGAATTCACAAAGTGGATGAAATTAAAGTTGAAGTTTGCTTTCACGCGTGTTTACTGCCAGACAGCGCCAGTGTGGGCGAGGCAGAGCTGTCCACAACAAAATCAACGGTAGAAAATCAGAATTGTCTTAAAAAATGATTGGCCATTCACGGAGCTCTGCCTCACACTGGTGCTCGATGCAAACTCCACTTGAGCCTGATGAGCACCTAAAAGCGAAACCCTGTGCTGCCAATGCCTTGCGTTAGAAATGATTGGCAGGTTAAGCTAACATTCCAACTTCCTCGCTAAGAGCATTCTATTGATTGCCCCCCCCCCCCGCCCTGCACAGAGATTGAACCACTTTCCGCGACTGTGCCAGCAGCGCCACTTGCCATCTGCATTACTCGCGGGCAATTAATTAATTATTTAATATATCCTTCTATCCTTGCCTCTTTGTCTGGTTTCCATTTCCACCCGGCAGGCGCGCTCGATAACCGGATGATGCGTGCAGAGGACGCATGGAGCCAACAGAGCCCCCCTGTGGCCGGCTCGAGCAGCCCCGCACTGCCCCAGCCTGGGCCGGCTTACAGCCCCTTGTCGGCCGGCATCGTGAGGAACCCCACCCCTCCGCTGATCATGCGGCCCAGCAGCCAACCGACACCCAGAGCCATCCTGCAGCATCAGCAGCAGCAGCATCAGCAGCAGCAGCAGCAGTCAATCATGAACATTGGTATGCCCTTCCTGGCTGCTCTTTTGAAGTGATGGAGCTGGCCCACCTCGTGTTTGAACTCTGAAGTGTTGAAGGCCCGGATGTCTCCTGTGTTTAGGTTTATCCACATGCATGCATTTAATTCCGAATTCCATTGGCACTTGTGTGAATTCATAGTTTGCTGTGCACCAAGCACTACCTTCCAATTAATCAGATTGCAGTTACATTTTATACTTTTTATTAACGAGTGAGAGGCTATTGAGGCCACACAATTATCATGACTTGAATGCAATCACAATAAAAAAGATAAAAACATCTAAAACTTTTGCAAACGAAAAATGCTTGACTTTTTGTATTATCATTCCAACATTGTTCGTGATGATGACATTTCATCGTAAATGTTGAATCGCAGGACCTTAATGGACCACTTGTGATGAGACCACGCTGTGTGTATGAATGTGTGCTGCCGTGCCTCAAATATTGGAACAAGTAGTCACCCCCTGTGAGTGGCTGGCTGAAGTGCCATCTTTTGGGGAAGTACAGAAGGTGAATGTGTGCTGCCGTGCCTCAAATATTGGAACAAGTAGTCACCCCCTGTGAGTGGCTGGCTAAAGTGCCATCTTTTGGGGAAGTACAGAAGGTGATTCAGAGTCTGAGACCAGGAAGAGCATCGGGCAGAGATGATCTCCCAAGTGAAATGCTGAGGGAGGGTGGCATTTATGCGTAGACTGTCCTACATGACATCATAATAACAGTCTGTACCACTGGACGGGTTCCACAGGATTGGAAGGATGCCGTGGTCATCCCCCTTTTTAAGAAGGGGGACCGCACAGACTGTAACAACTACAAGGGCATCTCCCTCCTCAGTGTGCCGGGAAAGGTCCTGGTAAGGATTATTCAACATCGCCTTGCCAGGCACGCTGAGGAGAGGCTTTTGCGGAGCCCCAATGTGGTTTCAGGAAATAAATATGGCAGAGATGCCATATTTTACGTCAATTTGCTACAGCAGAGGTGTTGGGAATTCCAACAGGACTTACATCTCTGCTTTATGAAAGTAGTCAAGGTCTATGATACCATTAGTAGGCCTGGGCTCTGGGTTGTTATTCGTGCTTTTGGGGTCCCTGACTCTGCTCACAATCATTAAGGACCTTCATGATGGTGAGCAGGGCCGGGTACAACTACGTGGCCGGGAGTTAGAGCCATTCCCTGTTCACCTTGGGGTGCGACAGGGATGTCCTCTGGCTTCTGCATTATTTTAAATACATCTATTTCGACCATGTAGTTCTATCTGGTACAGATACAATGGGAGGCTGATCGATGCCCTGGTGTGGTCAAGGGATGGCTCCCTATTGGTCAACTTTGTTATGTATGCCAATGATCTGGAGATTGCTGCTCACTCAGAGGAGTTGGAGGTGCTGCTGCTGAACCTGGAGCGTGCCACGAAGAGGTGGGGCCTAACCATCAGCCCCACTAAAACTTAAGCACCTTGCCTGGGTATTTTGTACAATAGGACACTCCACCCCACAACTCCCAATTTGTGATGGGGCAGTTGTGAAGAGAGTGGAGAGTTTTCCATACCTAGGCAGTACGCTCATGACTGGGTTCGGCTTGAAATCAGAAGGTTTCACTCCAAATCAGTCGAACGGCATTATATTTTCATCGGCTGTATAACTCTGTGTGGAAGCTACCTGATCTGTCGCTCCACACGAAGCTTCGGGTCTTCTCGGCTACGGTCATGCCCTCTATTCTCTATGCTTGCGAAACGTGGATCCCCCCTAATGGAACATCTTCACCTGGTTAGAAACATTTAGACTGGCCTGCCTACGATCCATCCTGAGTTTAACCAGGCTGCATTGTGTGAGGAGCTCACAAATCCTTGAAAGACCTGGACAAAGTCCCTTTGGGCACGGCACAGGCTTAGAGAAGACATGGAGGATGTGGAGCTGAGTGGACTTGCCATTGACTGGTACCAGCGGTGTCAAGATTGGCCTCTGTGGAAGAGGCTCGTGAAGGACGCTTCTGGCCAGTTCGAGGCAGTCGCCCTCCAGCAACAACGGAGGGCAGAGGAGAGCGGAGCGCCAGGTGGCTAAAACACAGCAAGTTGGCACATTAGGGGACACAGTTGATGCATCGGCCAGTCATCTCAGTCAGTCAACCCATGACACCTGGGTCTATCCCGTGACCACCTGCCAGCGGGCGTTCGACAATTTACATGCCCTTAACATGTGCATAGCCTGGGACAAGCGCCGTGGTAATGTCACCGCCACTCAGAGGCACATGGCGGTTGTTGTTGTTGTGCCTTCCAGGCCCGGTTGATATGGACATGAGCATGGGCAGTCCACAGTTCCCAGGTGCATCCATTGGAGGTGGTCCGCACAGCCCCTGGATGGACAGTATGATGGGCAGCACTCCCCTTGCAAACCACAACAGGTATCACACTCAAATATTTCCCACACCCGTGTGTTCCTATCCACTCGCTTTAAGTTTCTTTGCCCTGGTAAACCAGCTCTCTGGGACATTAATCCCCCCCCCCGTCGATAAAGGGATGTTTGATGGATAAGGCTGAATTCTAGAACATTATTTGATAGTCATTCTTGCTGTGCATGAACCAAATTTTTCTATCTTCGTTCATCTCCATCATGAAAACTAACATTTAAATATTGTATTCTCTAGTATGAGACGAACTTCCTTGTTTGGTACCAGAGAAACCATTTGCATTGTCTAACCGGCTTCAACAAAACTCTCTGTTCAGTGGAGTCGAAGAACGCAGCAGAAGAAATCCGCGCAATCTTGTCTTGTTTCTCTTCAGCCAAGCATTTGGTTCTCTGGACGAGCTGCTGTGCACGCCGGTTAGACCCGAGTCTCAGAACGACGAGAAGGCCCTCCTGGAGCAGCTGGACTCGCTGCTCAACAGCACGGATGAGCAGGAGCTGGCGGAGCTCGATAAGGCACTGGGCATCGACAAGCTCGTGCAGGTGATGATGCTCCTGGAGCAGTGGCGACCCCCCCTATTGCACCTCGTTGCCGTTGCAAGCCATTTATAGGAAGCCGCGTGTGGTAGATAATTCAATGAGATTTGAATCGTTCACCTATTGCTTCGTGTAATGTTAATCAAAGGAATCCGAAAGGTGGCACCACGAAACTTCTTCTGGCATCGCATGGAGAAGCGTTTCGCTACCCACCTCGCATAATCATTGTGTATGGAATGTACAGTGGTACCCAGGAGATCGAACTTAATTTGTTCCAGAAGGGCATTTGAACACCGAATTAATTTTCCCTATAAGAATTAATGTAAATGACATTAATTGGTTTCAGACACAAGAAATCTCTCATTATAAAGCATTTTTACACGAAGTTTACAGTAATTACATGCATAAAATCATAAAAAAAACAAGAAACACAATCAATAAATAAATGAATAAATATATGGAATAAATGAAATGAATGAACGTTATACTTCACTTTACCTGTAGTAAGGAGAGTTGATGGCTTGAGTGGAAGGTGGTGAGGAGGAGGAGGTGGTAAAACCTTTGTCTGGGCAAGCGTCATGCACGCTGGCCATACGCGTCTCAGCCGTACAGGTTCTTTCAAGTCGCGATTGCCCGTTCGACCTCCGAATTTCGTTCGGTTTCCGGGGCAAAAAATATTCGGAAATTTCGTTCGAACACGGTTTTGTTCGAGTTCTGGTGCGTTCGATCTCCAAGGTTCTACTGTATTACCTTCAAAGTGTGTATCATCCTGGCTCAGAGTCCGTACGTAACTTTTTCCTTTGCAGCAGCACAGAACCCAGACAATCACTAATGTGTGTTAATATTTAAAAAAAATTAAACACTTTGAGGAATTCTTTCCATGTAATGGGCAGGAGGGGGGAGGGACCGCCCATGCCATGCCCCTTGGGGCAGAGTGGGCGGTCCCGAACTTCCCACACATACCTTCCTGCCCATCCTACTCAGTGCTGTTCTGGGTTCGCGTGGCAGGGCAGTGCAGGGTTCTGGTTTGAGCTCCTGTGTAGGTAGATTACTAAGTGTGAAGTCTTAGTGTCGGGGTAGTTTCAAACTTAATTCCATTGATTAAAGTAATAACATAGATTGTCTATAAACATGTTTTGCGGCCAAGATACATAGTTTGTTTGGCGCTCAGCCACCGAGTAATAAATGTATTTTATTACGAGCACACGGCACGTGGAGTTGGCGACAAAGCGAAGTATAGCCGGTCGAACCAGGTGTCGCAGCTGCGGTTCCACTCGGTGAGCAGGAGACCGCCGTGAACAATGTTTTACAATCTCCCACAAATAAAACTGTATAGGACGGACATGTAATTTAATATGGCAGCTTCTTTCATGAACATTTTCCTGAGATTGAAACTGAGACTTTTATCCACACAGCTTCAGAAACGGACATTTACCAGGTGATTCACAAAGTAGTTGAGTTGGTACAAGGATTAATAATGTATCATTTATATTTGCAGAACTTATTTTAAAAAAATTTACTCTGGTTGGGATTGATGAAAGCATTCTTGGCAGGTTGGCATATTTGTTTAACTTTCCGTAATGTCAACTGCCGCACATTGCTATGCATTTATGAAGTTCTGCTGCAGTTTTCAGAATCGAACAAAAACACAGTGCTGCAAAGGAAAACAAAACCAAGTATGAGCGAAACATGTTCTTGTTTAGTCAATTTCAGCCGAAGGGTAGACCTTGTTGTTGTTTTAATGGACACAGTGCGAGTGTAAGCAAACATATTGTGTGCCTGCGGCTGCCGTATTCACATGAAGCGTTTCACATTAGCTACCAGAGTTCAGACTAGATTGCTATACTGCTGTGTTGCAATTTTTTTTATTCCAAGAGCACAAACTTAAATGGCTTCTGGTGTTCCCATAAGCATTGCGGCTCATTTCCATATGAGCTTTTTAAAAAGTGCTTCCCCATACATCAGTAATATGAAGCATCAGAACACCGCCTGTTTTTGTTCCGGCCAAATGTCTTGAGCCAGTCGTTATTGATGTCAACAATGGTTGATGACACGCTTTTTTGGCCAGTGGTCAGCCCACATGGAAACAAAAACAAAATGTTTATCCCTTCCTAACCATTGCCTCACGGTTGTCAAAACTTTGGCAGAGTGGCACCCTGGCGTTCTCGCAGTCGCTGTTCGTGAGCCAAGAGCACGTGCTGCCAGTCGGCATGATGATGGAGCAAAAGGTGATGTACGGCCAACCGTACCCCGGCGGCCAAATGCAAGGCCCCGGGCCCTCACCTGGCCTTTACGGCCAGGTTCCGGGGCAGCCCTGCGGCCCCTACGGCCCCATGGGCTCGCAACGTGGCCTCTACCCTGCCCAGCAGCCGCTCCGCATGGGCGCCGTGCCAACCAGGCAGGGCATGGTGGCCATGGTGAGGCCCCCGCGGGCGATGGCATCTGTACAGGCAGCACCGCCGCAGCCCAACCAGCTGCGGCTGCAGCTCCAGCAACGTCTGCAGGGCCAGCAGCAGGTACGTACCGAGCGCTTGCCATTGTCCTCATCTCCACTTCTCTCTGTCCTTGTTCATCTTCATCCGCGTCCAATCGCTTACTCATCTGTTTGTCTGGGATATCTCACAAGGTGCACATGCTTGTCATGGTCTTTTATAGACAACCTCAAGGTTTGCCGATAAGGTGTCCATAATTTTCTTGGTTCTTTCGGTAAAGTCACGTAGAAGGGAAATAATAAAATAATAAAAATTAAACAATAAAATACAATTCTCACGACGTTTTGGCCACAACGCAAGCAGCCGTATTTTATTATGTTTTATTTTTATTATTTCCCTTTTACGTGACTTTACCGAAAGAACCAATAAGATGAATCCCTGCAGTCACGAAAGCTTTAAATCGAAATTTAAGGTGTCCATATATTCGTAGTTTCACAGAGTTCTCTTTGCGCACCTCGTGTTTCCACCAATGTCAGTAGCTAAGTTGATGCTGAGTTCATGGTTGTCTCATATTTGGGGGGAGGGGGCGGCAGGGGGGGGGTGGTGCATCTCAAGTTCTCCCAGAAGGATGTAAGCTAGCTTGGCTGCAAGCGGTGGACTTAAAGTGTGGCTCCAGAGACAAGTCCAGAGCAAGGCGGGTTCATCATGAGCTGATCTTGTCAGTCCTGATAAAATAGCCCTCACATGCGTGTGACCTGAAAGTTGATTATAAACATCAAAGCAAATTAACGCATTGCATGAATGTATTTATTATTTAAGTGTGAAGGAGTCACATTAAAAGGGAACTGCTATTTATCTGCTATTTAGGTCTCTTGTGTTGTGCCGATGTATGCGATTTAGTGTTTGATAAGCACGATACTTATTTAGTGGACAAATATTTATTAAAATATAAATATTCTATTCACACAGCGTAACAAAATTCTGTACGTCAGTTGTGACTATTTGTGGGATAGCGTGCCGTGCTACTATTGTGCCTGCACCACCGTGGGTTATGTATGTATCTATGTTAAACTTCCTTCGCACCGTAATTAGCCAACCGTGCTCATCGGAGGTGCGGGTTAACAGTGCAGCACATGTACTAGACATTTCATGTGTAGTGACGTAAATGGAGTCACTATGGCGTTCAGCGCCAGCTACTGTCTCAAGAGTGGAACTGTGTCCTGAGCCTCTCTCTGGCACCAGAGTAGATATGGCATTGAAGCGGGCCCTAGGGGGCCTGGTTCTGGTGACGGTCAGAGAGAGAGCAAGTGAGGACGTGACAGTCTGGGTTAACCCGAGAGGGCACGTGACCGGGACAGGGTAGCGAGGGGGCCCAAAGGGTGGCTTGAGGGACACATGGTGCTCGGTCGAGAACCTTCTGGTAAGATCCAGGAGGGGGTATGGCCGAAGGCGGAGCGATGCCACCCGGTGGTCTTCTGGAATCAACCCGCTGTGCTACGTCTCTTCGGTCTTCGCTCTTCGGTCGTTACGATCGGCTTCGTGGATCAAGCAGTGCGTTACTGACTGACCCGGTTATGTAGTTACCCCGTTGTGGGGTGAGTTAGTCGTGGTAGTCACCACCTATGTCGTTATCCCGTACGGTTATGCAGTTACCCTGTTGGGGTGTTATAATAAACGTGTTAACCCATGGTGTTGCAGGCGCAGCAGAAGGGCACGTGATGTACTGTAAACATCTGCTTGTGTCGCTCACAACTTCAGCATTTCAAATTAGATTTGCACCGAACGTAAATTTTGCAGGTTGTAAAGGACACCATTGCCAGTTAATTTTACTGTTGCTCAAATTGTCCATGACAAAGCACAAATTGTAAGCAATGAATCCTATGTGGTTTGAAATAGTAAATGTATTTTTTTTTATATATTTGTAGGTTGCGCACATGTTTCACTTAGGAGTTTTTTTATGCATTGCATGCTTTGCAATGACGCCATTACATTGTCAAAACTAATAAAGTTTACTGTAAATGTAATATGGCTGCTTGGAGGTTGGCTTTGGAGGGTTTTTTGTTAATATGGGCAAGGGGCGGGGGTTTAGCCTTTGCCATCGCACTTGTCACTTTGCAGTATATCATGAGGGAAGAGGCCTGACCATAACTCAGACCAACCAAACCCCAATGCTGGCAAGCATATGGGTTTGTGCATGGGCAGTATGTGTGCCTTGGAGTTCAGTGTTTGCCAGTTTGAATCCAAACTTTCTCACCTCAGAAAATGCTGCACCAAAACTAGCGAATAAATACACGTGTGATTTGTGATGATAAAAAAAAAATCCACAACCTTATTGTGCTCACAGAATGACGGTACGGTACACATGTTAATGATAACTTGTTTCAAGAGTGCTTATGAATGCATTACTATTAATCTCTGTAAGTACTGTATTGAAGGTTTTTTGGTGAACTACAAATATATAAATTCAGCTTTGATAGATGCCGCAGCGATGAACTCATTTACTTTTGAAATGGATGCAAGTAAGTACATGGTGTCTTTCAGATCATCAATCAGAACCGGCAAGCGATGATGAGCCAATACGGTGTTGCTGCAGCTATGAACCCGGCAATGAGGAATGCTATGCCCCCACAATCAGGACAGGTAAAAGGAACAAGACGTAAATTTCACAAATCCCTCCGGATCAACACGACTGCTCCTGAAATAGCTCACTCCATGGTTTCCAGCCAATAGCCTGCCTTATGTTCGAAGCCGAAGGCAAAAAATGCCCTCGGCAAAACACTTTTTAAGGCGAACATAATTTACTTTAATGAGTAATGAACATTAATTTGGAATACAATGTACAAATACGCAATTTTTCACTGATGTCACAGTTGATCACATTTCAATGTCAAGAATTGCATTTGTGTCCACAATGTATTCAAAGTGCTGGTCACTCTTGCTTTTCCATTCTCTAACACTGACTCATGCTGCGATGCATTCAATATTGCATACCTATGTGACATGGCCAAATACCTATGCAGCATACGTAACGCCATGTCAGTGTTAATCATAAGTAAACAAAACCACACCTAACTTTACTTTGAGTCGAACTCCCTACAAGTAAGTGCAACGTTTTATGAGACAGAGCCCCTTCATGGATCTTCAGCATATAGTATTTGCTCTATCTTAAGAGATTAAATGAAAAGGAAGTAAATGTAATTCATGCAAGTTCAGTCACACTCGGTTACTTTTAGGAGAGTCGTGCATTTGAACATTTAGCCACTTTTAAAGGAGTGCTTTGTAGAGTAAACTGGAGTACCCAAAGAAACCCCCTGTATGAGACAATTCAGAAACAAGGAAAAATCAGCACAGATAATTATTTTGGCCACCTCGCATCCCAGCGGGTTTTGGAGCATCCATCACCCAGAATCTGAACCATCCATCAACAATTATTACGCCAACATGCCTGGCTTGGAATTGAATTCCATACGGATAAATATAATGAGCAAGTGATTAAACAAACGCCTTGGATGATTGCAGGGAACGCTGAACGCCCAGATGGTGGCCCAGCGGCGCCGCGAGCTGCTCAACCAGCAGCTGCGGCAGAAGCAGCTGATGCAGCGCGCCATGATGCTGCGGCAGCAGGGCTTCGGTGCTCCTCCAGGCAGCATAGCCGGCCCCGTCGGGAGCATGGCGGGCATGCAGGGGGGCATGGGTGGCATGGGCACGGGCGCTGGCGCCGTGGGGCCTGGCGCCATCCCGAGCCACGTGGGAGCCCGCATGCAGCAGCCCCCCAGCTCGCAGCAGTTTGCCTACTCCGCTGCGTACGCCGCGGCGGCGGCGGCAGCAGCGGCCGCGGCCGGCGCGGGGGGTGCCGGCGTGCCGGGTGCAGGGGGGGGGATGCCTGGCAGCGTGGGGAACCCACAGCCGGTGCCACCGCCATCCACGAGCCCCTTCCCTCCGCTGTCGCCGTCGGCCACGCCACAGGCGGGCGGTCACGGCGCTCTGAGAGGGGCGGCCGCGACGCAGGCAGCCCGCGGCATGATGGGAAACCCCGGCGGGCAGTACGCGCCCATCGCCAGCCCACAGATGAGCCAGAACGTGTTCCAATTTCCTTCCACAGGTAGGAGTCCTGTAATGCATTTGATGTTGTTGGTGTATAACATGTTTATTTTATTTTGCCACCATTGATTATTCACTAGTGACATATTCGCCACCTGCTACCAAATGTGATCTGCCAATTAAATTATACAAAAGGGTTCTTTCAGCAGTTAAACCCTGCACTGAAGGTGCTCTCTTTATACCAGTGTTAAATAGGTTTAATTTTGCCGATTGTAACATTTGAATCAGTTGGATGAAGAAAATATAATCTGTATATAATACATTGTTACATTGCTTAACATTACAAATATATCTGGATACATGTATGCAAATAAAAGAGTTACATTTATAGCTTATAAATGTATGTGTTTGTGTCTGTTTCCAGGAGTGGGTCAGCAAGCAGAGCCTGGCTTCGGAGTTTTGGGCAACCCTCACAGCCCACTGCTGTCCCCAGCCATGAGCCCACTCGTCGCTCCCTCCCAGGGGGGCTCCCGCTACTCGCCAAACCCTGACATGAACGCGTGGCCGCAGACGATGGCACACAGCATCAGTCCCAACGTCGCAGCCAACATGAGGGCCAGCATGGGATCCGGCATGGGCCAGAACATGGTGCCAAACATGGCACAGAGCATAACGGCGAGCATGGGGCAAAACATGGGACCCGGCATGTCGCACGGCATGGGGCCCGGTGTGGGTCACGGCATGGGGCCCGGTGTGGGTCACGGCATGGGTGCTGGAAACAGCATGGCTGGGGCCATTGGCGCAGCGGCTCAGGGAGCCATGGGCAGCAACATGGTTGGCGGCATGGGCTCCAGCAGGTGAGCGGTGGTGGCTGCGTGCTGTGTGACATTTGCCCATTGGACAGTTGTACGTGGGATAAAGTTGCACGAATCAGAACCTGGTACGTAAAAAATTTTTTATGTTGCACAAGGAATAGGCAATGTCACGTTGAGGGTGGTGAGTAAACACTACATATAGTTTGTAATGTCTGTACCGATGGTCATTCAGCGGTTGAAAAAATTAATGTAACGTACAGTAAAACCTTGGGTTGCGAGCATAATTCGTTCCGGAAACGTGTTTGTATTCCAAAGCACTCGTATATCAAAGCACTCGTATATCAATTATGATCATGTGACGTTCGGCAGACAAAGCGTATGCACGTACTACTCGTATTGCAAGACCTCGCTCGTTTATCAAATGAATATTTATTTAAAAAATTTGCTCGTCTTGCAAAACACTCGCAGACCAAGTTACTGGCAATCCAAGGTTTTACTGTATATAGTTTGCTAAAACGTCTGAAGTAATCGTTATGATTTTTTTTTGCAATGTCATTTCAGAGCAACACAATTCCAATCGTGAACATTGTTGAGTTTTGACATTCCATTGACTCGAGTGGAATGAAGGGGCGAGTTTGGAATTTGAACTCAAAATCTTAAAACTGAAAACTGCGCACTCTAATTGCTGTGCCAGCTAGCTTGCCCGTAAAAAAAAGCTCATCTGTAATGTTATTTGTGAAAAATCACAGTGAGTGGGAGCTCTAAGAGATCTGCCCCTTTACTTAAACAGGACCCAGTGAGGCTTTATTGGGCAAGTGTGTTAAAATAATTATTCCCTCGTTTTCTGTATGCCGTAGGGGAGGTCCCTTCCGTCAAGCATCACCGCAGCAGTTCATGCAGCAACAGCAGCAACAGCAGCAGCAACAGCAGCAGCAACAGCAGCAGCAACAGCAGCAGCAACAGCAGCAGCAACAGCAGCAGCAACAGCAGCAGCAGCAGCAACAGCAGCAGCAGCAACAGCAGCAGGAAGGTGCCGGAATCTACGTTGGCTCGGTGAGGGGTACTGTGCCAGGAGACTGCGGCACATCAAGCGCAAGCAGCATGGAGCAGCCACCCCCGCACATCGGCACCTCGTCCATGAGCAGCACAGCCTCGCTGCCTCCTGAGCAGGTGCACATCAAGATGATTGGCATCCGCTATCCACAGCTACACATTTATGCACAGTGGTGTGACTGCTCTTGGCGTGTTCATGCAGTGGGGAGAGCACGTAACCGTATGGCTGCAAGTTCAAATACGGATCAGGTGTCGACTTGCTTTGTGGAAAGTCAATAGCGGTTGTCCTGTACAATGAATTGCATCCATCATAGGAATGTGTAATTTCCACCACTGGTTCAGGACTTTAAACAGGAGTTCCACCACACTTTTTTTTTTAGAACATTGATTACGACTGGGCCAAGTCCCAATGATGATGTATGTAGCCAGTCTAAACCAGGGTTGACTCTGCCCCTACATTATCTCAATTATCAGTAAAACTATAGCCACTTCACATTTAGTCATCCGTACGGTGCGAATAAAGTTGAGCATAAAATGTAAAAACCGCTCCTTGCCATAGGACTGTAAAATGTACACCGTTGCAAAAAGGTCCGTGTATAAGGACCACTGTCTAACACTAATGTAGGTGTATTCACGGTTAGTTTCTTTGTTTTTTTTTAATTCAATGTATGTGAATTGTATGTAGACTTGCATGTTACACTAATGCCATCTCTTGAACTGCAACGCCAAGCATAGCTGCGTCCGCTTAGTACCCAGCTGAGAGGCACTCTGGAAGTGCCAGGAGTTGTAAAAACACCACATACCTATAAGAGCAGCTATCATGAGTTCGTTATGGGCAAATCTGCCACAAGGGAATATTTTGCATACAGTGTGTGTGCAAGGAACTCGGCTCAATTTTACTGATGCTCCCCCTGCTGGTCTGTGGGAGGCAGACGATTCCTCGAATACAATGTTTATATTAAAGAAAGGACATGCTCCAGACATATGAACAATCCTTAGTACTCTTGACTCAAACACAGGCACACCACCTCTAGGTACTGCGATCAATGTACACGTGTTTAAAGCTGCAAATGTATTTCCCATGTTATGTTTAGAAGATATTATTCGCAATTAGCGGTAAATATCCTCTGCTTGTGTCTGGTTGTGCTATGTTACTTATACTCTCTGGTTCTTTTGGTAAAGTCACGTAGATAGAAGAAATAATAAAAGAAAACACGACGTTTCGGTCGCGTTTTTGTACATAACATAAACATGTCTGACATTTCAAGCATCGTGCACTTTTAGTAACTATAGTTTTGTAATAGCTCACAATTGTCAAGTTGTCATTTAAAATCTGGGTCACAATCATCTCAGCCCTTCATCCCTCTGGAGTCAATAAAATGAATACCACTTTGTAATGAGTCAAATATGGTAAAAATTCCACCACCAAAATGTGCTTTTGTCTTTCCATTGGCTGAGGAATATGAATAGATGAGCTCCAAGTGAGTGGGAATCTTGCTTGATGGACTAAAAATGTGCTGATTCTTTTGGGAACATTTTCATCGCAGGTTATAGATCGAGGTATGCAAGCGTCCCCCTTATTCAGAAACCGACTGGGATCTTCTGACGCTATGAAGTCTGGGAATGAGAATTCACAGGTGGGAATTCTCCGATTTATTAAATAACAAGCAACTCACACTTTATTTTGTTATGGCTAACAGAGGAGAGTCACGAATAGCTGTCACTCGATATTTAGGAAAAAAATCACATCACACAGATATTTGAAGATGTTATAGCAAACATTGGGAGTTTGAAAGTAGCTAAAAGGCTAATATTTGGCAATTCAAAATGGTAACCCTTAGGGGTAAAGATTAAACGAAAACACGATAGAGATATAATACCCTTAATTAGTTCAATGTATGTACTTCTTCTTCCTAGCGTTGTTCCCGCTGTGGCGCAGGGTCCGCTTTTCGGCATTGTCTTCTCCATTTGGCTCGGTCCAGGGCATCTTCAGGGGATGCGTTGACCGTCTTTATGTCTTCCTTTATTCGATCCATCCATTGCTTCTTCGGACGTCCGCGTGGACGGCGGCTCTCTGGCTCAATGTATGTACATCTCTAACAAAAAAAGGAATCCGTTTTTGGTTGGTGTAAATTCCATGTATCTCACTCTTAAAAAACTAATCGCAGCCCTTCACGGTGTGAAAAGGGAAAAGCTCCAAGACAAGATGGTATAACTGAACATAAAAGGGGGAGCATTCATTGGAACAAAACTTATAGACGTTTTCACTTAATGGTTGCACAGAAATGAAAACCTCAGTTGTAGAATGCCTCGGCCATATTCATGTGGAGGTTCGCCAACTGTTTAGGGCGGCAGACATGAGCGCTGCTGCCCACCCCCTTGGTTTCTACTTCTGGAGCCTGGATTTGGGATGCTTACTAAGATGGTTTTTTTTTGTGATTTGCGTGTCAGTGGAAATTGGAGCACTCGCATATTAGAAAGGATAACACTGAAAAGTTCAAACGATGGGTTTATAAACCCACTTGCTGTAATAGCATCTCACCACCGAAGACCCTAGTAGATTTGAGAGTTAACAAAGCTGTGATCATCCAAATCGTGTCTGCCGAGTGCTGGATTTCACGCACGCGACTATCATCCTTCCCTCCTACAAGTGGCGCTTGCACAGGACTATGAGATGTTTCCGCCACAGCTGTTACATTTCATTATTTTGTATCTCCCCCCCGCCCTCTCTCCTCCCTCCTGTTCCCCGACTGTTGTCGGGGTATATTACCCTGTGCAGCCATTGCAGCAGGTGCAGGTGTTTGCGGATGTGCAATGCACGGTGAACGTGGTGGGCGGTGGCGGAGACTCTTACCTGGGTCAGGCAGGACCGCCGACACCGGGCCAGAAGCAGCAGCAGCAGCAGCAGCCTGGTGCAGGGAATGTGACGGGGGCCCAGGCCGCTGCTCAGGCTCAAGGATCCAGCCTCCTGCAGCAGCTTCTAACTGAGTAGCGTTCACCAGGTCCCGGGCCATTGCGCGGCCATCCCTGTTCTTATATGCGGAATCCCAGCTTTGCAGGTTGTCTCAATCGACTTCTCACTCGTAGTATTTATTTTCAAAGATGACCCGGCTCTCACATATGACCAGTTGGATCTTAAAATGCCTTCAGAAGTGTTATATCTTTTACTCTGTATGTTTGTCTTCAACTTCAGTGTGATGGGACACGTGATATTAAACAAAATGTACCTTTTTTTCTGACCCCAGACTGTAGCTATATGTGTATAGATTATTTAACACAGTCTGGTTTAAGACTTTGTCAAAACCTAACGAGTACGTTTGTAGAAACTGAAGTTTGTGAACGAATGCGAGGGCAATTTGACAGGAACTGTAAATAGACATAAAACACACTTTCCAATTATGTACGTTACGAGATCCCTGTAGCCACTGGCCATATATGCAAGTGACGGGTGTTGACGAATTTAAAACAGGAAGCAAGACACTTTATAGCAGTGAGCTTTAATGCCCTTAGAGGAGCTTCTGCTAGCTTGTGATGTGTGACTGTTGGCAGTGCAGTAGTAACTTGTTATTGTGAACATGTTTTTTTTTGTATAATATATGGCAGTGGCTTACATAGCTCAGATAGATGGTTGTAGTAGAAACAAATCTAAAAACAGTTATCACCATGCCACAATAGCCATTGTGTTTCTACCTTTGTATGGAGTAATTGGGATGTTACAAACACAATTTTTTCTTAACTTTGTGAATAATCTGAACTCTTTAAAACTGGAGCTTGTTTGCTAAAAAATGATGTGTGTAAAATGTTCATGTCACCCATGTGAGAAATGCCACTCTTGGTTGTAAGCAAAATATCATGTGACAGTGGCTTTTGAGAAGCTACCTTTTTTTAGTCTTACTGGCCTCATGGCTTTAAACCTCAAGTTAAAAAAAACCTTATTATTTAAATGTACTTCTGAATACCCTTTTCGGAACATAACACATGTACGATAGAGGCAGTATGACACTTATTTCTAACAAGGTACATACTTTAAAAGTTTTGTAAATTATTGTTGTGCATAATACTTAATGTTCTTAAATATGACACGTCAAGTAAGTAAACAAATACGTAATTTTGAAAAGAGCTGGAGGAAGTGGTGTACAAATGAAATCTGAATCTTTTTCACGAAAGTGCGTCTGCAAAAAGTGGTTGCTTGTTTTGTGGAATTTGGCCACAGCAGTGAATAAAAAGAGTAACCAAACCGTAGCGAATGGAGACTGGAGTTGAAACCGGCTGCTACCCTCCCTGATATATGCATTCACCTGAAGTGTGACTTACCGAGGCGTTTTGCCAGCAGAGACCGCCTTCTTGCTGTAGAAGAGAGAGACAATTTACTACCTGAAACGATGACAAGTTTTCCTCCTTTTTACATACAGGTGTTTTTGCGTTTCTCTACGTAACTTTACAATATTTCTAAGAGTCTCATGTAGGCAGTCACCCAATGGCTGCAGCATCCGGTGTCCTCGTGCAGGTCTATGGAAATACACAATTAAATTGTATAGGAGTGAACGTTTAGTGTGTATTTGCCTTCGGTTGTCAGTCTCAGTGCTAGCCTAATTCGTCTTCATTTCCTTGGCCAATATACTTAAGTAGAGAGACCAATCCAACCTCTGGACTTTTAGTAACCGTATAAAAACACTTGCACATTTTCATTGACAGAACCCGACATAGGTCACTTGAACTGAACTCTGCCAAGCAGCCGTTCCTTTCTCCTACAAGGAGCAATATTGTGCTTAAGGAAGTGTGTTTCTCCATGGGTTTCTATTTACCGTGTTTTTATAATGGCGTGCGTGTTGTAGGAAAGGCCATACCTAAAACCGATGGGTACTCTTTTATGATGCGATGCTTGTGGTCAATTAAGCCTAGACATCGGAGAGGTGCACACTGCCATCAGTGCTGCCACGTGAACAGACGCAGCAGTGGGATTGATTGGTGCAGCTATGTAGTGGAGCTTGGTGCGTTACAACTTTTGCAATGACTCTGGATCCTTACTTTCCAGGAATCTTGCCAGTGATAATCAGTGGCCGATACCCCAGTTTCCCCATTGCCGTCACCATGCCCTTACATCTGCTTAGCGTTGCTCAATAATAATAATGACGCAGATTCTGCAATCACGGTATCGGGTTGTAGATTTTGTCAAGCCAGTCCGAAGTAAAACCAAATTGTCTGCTTTTTAATACAGAGTACATGTCTAAGCCTGACCCTAGCAAATAATGCTCATAAAATTATCACAAGACCAGTTTACTGTGGGAGTCAATATTGTATGATTGAAGAAATATACTACAATCACTTTTATAGAGCACGTAAAAATAATTTGCTTAAGCTTATGGTTGCCATTATAAGCTTTTGTTGATAATAATTTTAGAGCATAATAAGATATACAAATAAGTTTGGAAGATGTTATGAAAACTCAAGCTGTGACTATGCCATCAGGTCCACATTTTGTACCATGTAACAAATGACACTCAAGCAATAATTTTCAATGTAGCTTATACAATCGGATCCGTTTGTAAACTGTTTACCAATCACAGGTTCAAAATGTACGAGCTGCAACAGCTGTGCGATAAAGTACGATGTTTAATTTATTTTAGTTTTGTTTTTTGAAGACAGGGTTTAAACCTCATGAGCATAACTTTATTCGTTGTTGTTTTTTACATAGGTGCCCGCACAAGCGATAAATGTCCCTTTGTCCCAGAAACGCCTCGAAGGATAGTTTCAACGCAAGGCTTTGCGAGGCATACAAACTTGGCATATGCATTGACATTTTTGTTGTCCAATGCCAGGTAACGTAGCTTGAGATGATGCCTTAGCTCATTGATATATCTTAGGTTTCAAAAGCCATCGATCGTAAACATCCACTGTTAAACATTACTTAAATTGTGTTCGCATCCCACACAGGTCCAGGTGGTGTAGAGCCACTGTGTAACTACATAAGGGCAGCTAAGATGATTATATATTTTTTTTCCTCGCATTGTACTAACGCCATCACTGGCAAATTAAAAGGTATTTCATCTGAGGCTGTGGCAGTTGTTTCAAGAGTAGCAACAAGTTCATTGGTCATTAAGGTGCCGATTTACTTGACCAGTTGGTGCTGGGCCCTTGAATCCAAAATCGTAAAGTTGCGTATTTAAGTAGGTTAAGTAAAGAATGTATGTTTTTAAGGCAGCTTTAAACTCAACAAGCATTCTCCTGATTTGTACCAGGGCAAAAAAAAACTACCTTTACTAAACACTACAATGCTGCTTTTAAAAAGGTAATTTCATCTTTTGATTGAAATTGATGCGACTCTAAGGGGAGTGGTGGTGCAGCGGTTTGTGAAACTTTGTTATGAACCCATTGACCTGAGATCGATTCCCAGCCAAGGCTAACATCAGAGGGGAATTTGTAGAACCAGTCCTGCCCCCCCCCTGCCTTTACTGAACAGCGTGGTGAATTATGGTCAAGCAACTCCTATGACAGCTGGGCACGGGGAGGCCTTCATTGATTGGTTGACGAAGCATTGTGCACGATTATTCTTTTGGCTCTTACAGAATGACTCAGTTTGTGACTTCTATAAACTTTCATGAAAAAAATTACCAAAATAAGTAAAGGCTTAGTCTGGTTCTGGAATACGAAAGACATTGCACAATTGAACAGCCCCACATTTTTTGTGTAAGATCTGCAGAATCTTGAGTCACAAAATGTGTTTCCAGTTTCTTGCATAACACACATCCAATTGTATTATAGATTTTTTGCTTTTTGTAATTTATTTTTTACGAGGCTCCACTTTGTTCTATTGAGCTGGCATAATGACGTCATGTCACTTTGTATACACTTAAGAATGCAGATGACATTAAGGCACAAAGAAATCACGTGATGGCCGATTGCATTGCTGTGCATTTGTTGTGCAGCAATCGGTGATGCGGGTATTTTAAACCAGGTTCTTTACAGATGCAAACCGACTGGTAAAGTGAACTGTCGCAGCGATAGAGCACGAAAGGTCGACACTTGGGTGTCACTGACTGTAAACGTATGAACAAAATGAAACAGGTGTGATTTCCGACTTATGCTGTTGCCCTAAAGCTTCATGTCTTAGCAGTGCAACGCACCTTTATGCTGTGTTCATCCGGGTATTGATTCAGTCGATGCCCACGTTGAGAATCTGTGTTTATGCTAGAGTTATATATATATAAATATATATCCATGCTGAACATTGCTATTTAAACCTGTGGTTGCGTAGAAATGAGAATGGAGGAGTCCAACATTTTAGTCCTTTTTTCGTGTTCTAGAAAGAAAAAAAAACTGACCGTCACTGGTCACCAGAATGTGAATTTTATTTTGCAGCTAAGTTGTCGAAACTGACAATTATTGATAATACTGTATTTATCATATTTTATGCTTTTTATTTCCATTGATGTTTTAGTCAGATGAGCATTAAACTTCCTGCACCCTTCAAGAAGTCATGTTGAGCAATGCTACATGCGTTTGGCTCCATAGCAGTAAGTGAATCGAATCCTGCTATAGTTTGTTGGTAGTGTTTCTGAGTTTTTTTTATATTTTAGATATCATTGTTCTTTTTGTGTAAAAAAAAGCTAACTCGAATGTGTACGATTTAGACAATGACTCGTTTAGACTAGTTTCACACATTGTGTGCACGTGTTTATGCTTTCCCCAACTGGTCTCCAAGATTGTTTCTGTATTGTGAATTGAAATGTTTTTTTTGAGTGAGGTGCATTTGTAAGTTGACCTAAATGTACAGGGTTAATGTTGAATAACGTTGCATTAGTTTTGCATCTTTTAAGCAATATGTTTGAAAAGAAGTCCCTTTTAAAGGTGGCGGACAGTGTTAGCTGTTTAGATGTATTCAGTTCATCAACTTTTATTTGTTTTGCCTGTGTTTATTGTAGCCTAAGCATATTCTGACCATATTCAGATTTAAGCATCTATCTCTGTTAATCTAATGGCCTTTGCTTATAGATTATATTTGCTAATTTGCTGTAAAATATTGTAAATAAACAGGCTATCGGTTAAGATTTTTTTCGGAGTGCATTATTTTAATGTTTCTTATTGCAGTGGTTATGTGCCGTTCATGGCAACAGTGATGGATGTTCCACTTCGTTCTCCTGTACAAGACTGGGTCCAATTCATCTTGTAAATAGGTCGCTGCTATATTCCCATGGAACACAAAAACACAGCACACTGAACCCTTTGTGGATATATAATAATCATCACCTCCTTGCACCTGCCACCAACAAACCATTGTAGTTAACCAGGTGAGAACTCAGGAGACCCAATGATCTCATTTTCAAGGGTGACCTGAGGTCACGAAATTCACAAAAGCAAAACAATATACAGCATTATTAAAATAAATAGTAATCGGTAAAAAACCTGTCACGTGAAAAATTTAAATAATATTACGCAAATGTTAATTTCCTTCTGGCGTTAATCGGCGTGGGAAGTTTGTTTTGACTGAGTATCGTGCAATTGCAAATTATGTTACAGAAGAACTAAACATTTTTAGGACGTGTACTAATGTAAACAGACAAGGATATACGGTCATGCTATCGCAAGTTATAAAACAGACGAATTCGTATCAAATTGTGATTTAGCCTTCCACATCCAGTCAACCTTCCACCTCTTACATGGTGATACTAACTTGGTTTAAGCGACAGTGATTTTTAAACGTCTTGCTTAATTTTAAATAATACAAATTTTTTAAGTGGGAATTAATTGAGTGAAATGGTAATTGCATGTAATCTAATTGTAGTTTTTTGCAATTGTACGATTATTTACGGAATGCCACAGACATCCCCAAGTAACCAGAGGGCATCTTGCCACATTGTTTTTGGCACCAAGGAGATGTTTAATGTAGTCCCATTCAATCTTAATTTTAGAACTTTCGTGACTGCAGGAATTATTATTTGGTTCTTTCGGTTAAGTCACGTCTAAAGATAACGTGACTTAACCGAAAGAACCAAATAATAGTCCCATTCACTCCACGAGCGTACATTATATTTTAGTATACATTGCACAAATGGTGAATCAATATTATTTATATTTTTTTAGTTGAAGAAATTACATAACCTCTCCACTAGGGGGGGGCGCTGTTGAGTTTAAAATCGCATGTAATACGAAACATTTTTTTTAAGTGTTTAGTTCGTAAGCATGCGGGGTCAACCTGGGCTTAAAGCAAATGCAGGTTAAAATATCATGCAAAACTCATACAACACCTGCTCAAAGTGCTCAGAATTAGACTCATACTGTAGGGGCGCTCGCTGTTCATATGAATAAAATCCATTAAAACACAGTTATTAAATTTCGATTTAAAGCTTTCGTGACTGCAGGGATTCATCTTTTTGGTTCTTTCGGTAAAGTCACGTAGAAGGGAAGTAATAAAATAATAAAAATAAAACATAATAAAATAAAACACAGTTATTACCCAATAAGTCACTTAAAACGTATCGCAAATGCGGGGGTCTTAAACCTGGATCAACATAGGAAATGCAGGGGATTGAACTTAGCTTTAACAGGTAAAACTCAACCTGAACCATAATGCATTCAAAGCTACACAACAACAGCATTTAAAAAAATATCTGTATACCAATGTCCTTTATACGGTAATTCCGCGGTTTGCGTCGGGCATGCGTTCATGAAATTTGCGACGGATATTGAACGGACGTAAACCAAAGCGATGTACACGGTAGTAAGTCGGTGGAGGCGACATACCGAGAGGACGGATGATTATGCGGTCAGCGAGGCGAGTGTGGGGTAGAGAGGCGACGCAAACCAGTTATAGTCGTGGCATTAAGAAATAAAGTGACGATGAATTTGGCAAAACGACGTCAAAGGGGCGGGGTGGGGGGTGTACGTCAACCGGAGTATTACTGGACGACTACAGTCATCATCCGCTGTCACAAACACCAGCCCTTCACCTCCATCAAATGCAAATCAGCACCCCTTTCATCATTATCTTACTTGCTCTCTGAGAGGCTATATGCTGGAAGAACAGTAGTTCTAGGGTGGAAAGTTCAGATAAGCGCCTTTTAGTGGCACACACTGGTCACGCGGTAGCTTTTCTCGGCATTTACAGCCCTGCCATTTACACTCCTGCAGCCATCACCCCCAATTATCTCCCATGCCCCCCCCCCATCACTTCCTCCCTTAACCTCCCGCAACATCCCTCCTTCCTTCACCATTCTTCACCCATCACTACCTCTCAACAACTCCCCTTTTGTGCTCATCTCCTCATGCCATGATAGCCTTTAACAGAGATCCCTATTAATTGGTCACCATAATTTGTAGTCAATGAAGCGCTAAAATCTAGAGCATATTTCAGAACGTAAACAAGTCTAAGACCTCCTGCTATAACAACTGGATCTTTGTTTTACGTTTCTGATCACATTCATCAATGGCCCTGAGATGTACCAATATACAGAGACAAATAGGACTTATAATTATTAGTAGTAATGGGGAGGGTTGCGGATGCTGTGTTAGAGTTAGATGAGAGATGATTCAACTGTGAGCTAATTTTACAAGTATACCCCGCGGAGGGCCTTTTACGGAATAAAAATCGCAACAATGCAGACGGTGAGTCGCAAACATTCGAAGAAACAACATTCAATTCACGCAACACTCAACTGACACTGAAATGTAATGCACATCATCAACACCGCTAAGCACCAAAGCCTGTTATATGCTTGGTTCTTTCGGTAAAGTCACGTAGAAGGGAAATAATAAAATAATAAAAATATTAAATAATAAAAATATTAAACAATAAAAAAAATGTATATTGTTATTATTTTATTATTTCCCTTCTACGTGACTTTACCGAAAGAACCAATAATATGAATCCCTGCAGTCACGAAAGCTTTAAATCGAAAGCCTGTTATGTTAAACATTTCAGCTATTTCAAATTTTCTTAGGATTTCCATTCGAGCTTTTCTTTTCTTCACCTATTTGTTTGTTTGTTCGTGGTACTGGATGCGGAACTTCCTTCACATCGCGCTGAGTTGCCAGCGTGTGATCGTCCCTTGGCGCCCACTGCGATCTCGTGGTTTGTAGTACGACGATCAGTTTCCTTGTCGGCTTGCCAAGTGGGTTGGCTTCATCGGGCCCAGTTCTTTAGACGGCGTTGCTCCCGTGTCAATCTGTGCCTCCGACTGGTGTCCCTATCATGGGTGAAAAAAATCCGATTTTTCCAGCAGCAGGCATCGGCTTTTTTCTTTAATACAATTAAACCCGATTTCGGGGAATTAAAACCTGGTTTAATGATTACGAAACTCTGATCCAAGGCTTAGGCTGCTTCCTCGTCGGTGCTGCTATCGTACTCGGGGGGGGGGCGTCGGGCACGGGGTAGTCGTAGAATGCGGCGGGCAGGTTGGTCTTGATGAACACGAGCTTCTCCACAATCGTGGGCGCCAGTGAGTTCCTTAGCTTGGAATGGATGAAGCCCATCGTTGAGAAGTGCGGTTCTGCAATTAGAACAAATTAAACCGGATTTCTCCCAATCTCAGATGATCGAGTTTAATATAAAAAGACAATTAAACCCGATTGTAAAAAACCAGACTGTGCCACCCTTGGTCCCCATCAATCGCTTCATCATATCAGAGGAGTCAGGTGCACGTGCACACCGCTCATTGATCGCTGATGCTTGTTGGCAACGAGGCTCTCCTCACCACGATGGTCACTTACAAAGCCTGCCAGCAGGTGGCGGTGTGACGCTTTGGCAGAGGTTGACCTCAGGCACTCGATGTCTTAGTTGAGGACATTCTCAAACACCAGCCGAGCCCGAACACCAGAAAGCCTTTATGCGTTACACTATTCGCCATTGCAATGTTAATTAAATCGAGAGCTCGGGAAACGTTAATCAAATCGAGAGCTCGGGCAGCGACAATCCACTCCGCTTAATCATTGCTCCGGGAGGGGTACTGATTAAAAGCTACCCCCCCCCCCCGTCACTCAACCATCCCTCTCCGAACATCACACAAAGCACAGCAAGCCACTCGCAGCAGTAGGGACGGAGCTGCCAAGTAACCAGTCCACACATTCAGGATTTCCCGGACACCTAGCAAGAAAAACAAATATTTGCCTGTGGGAATGCACGACTGGGGAGCAACGCAAGCTGCTGATGCAACAGGCCATGCTTTCCCACCTGATGACGGACGCTTGTGTTGCGCCCGAAACGTCGTGATTTATTTTATTTTTTATACCTACGTGACTTTACCGAAAGAACCCAAGAGTAAGGATTCCTGCAGTCACGAAAGCTTCAAATCAAGATTGTATTTTTCTCCAGTCACTCCGAATGACCTTAAACTAACCCCCAACCCCCACCCCACCACACACATTTCTCGTCGGGTTCCCTTTTGGCAGCCAAAATGAAGAGCAAAGTGTGATGATGAGCGGCCACGTGTTCATGGGGACGCACGCGGCGTTGGGACGTTGATGAACGCAATGTTGTCAGGCGCCAAATGTCGGGCACAGAATGCGACAATTAATTCCACGCGTGCCACGGCGTATTTTTTTTAAATTGAGGCAGCGTCCCATTCGTCAACAATTCTGACAATTTTGTCAGCACCACGCAGAGAGGCACTTATTGTCGATCAATGTTGACGCTTCTGTTTCTTGGCCCATATATATACACACACACCGTACGCGCGCGCGTCTTGCTGGTGAGGTTTACACAATTGCATTCTTGTTGTGATGAAGAATTGTCTCTGTACGTGTGAACTAATGTGGTCTTTATATTGTTTTTTAAGGCATCACGAAGCTAAAATGTTAACCCATACAATAAGATTACTATTTTATATTCAAAATGTTCATATTGTAACTCCTACACTGAATATATACTAATAAACCATTTACAGTATTTATATAATTAATTTGATGTCGCAGTTAAGTAATCTCACCAAAAAATTACCAATATAGTTAAATTATGGTTGAGAACACGAGTGCATATACGTTCAGAGCAAGTGATAGGTGGCATTACTGCAACACTTATGAATATATAACTTAAATCAGTGCTTCATAACAAG